AGCCGCTCTCCACCAGCGAGCGCTTGATGACGGCCTGCAGCACCGCGTCCGGCGTGGAGATCATTCCACCCCACCGCGTCACGCGGGCCGGCTGCAGGGAGTTCACCCACCTGGTGACAGACACGGGACAAGCGGTCAGCACCGTGCATTTTTGGTGGCTCCCACCAGAATCGAGGAGCTGGTCCTCGGCTGGACCGGGAATGCCTCCATTTCCCCACCTACCCTTCCCCTATCCTCACCCCCAAACAGGACCCAGCTGCGGCATTCAGCTCTGCTACTCCCTCCCCAGAGGGAGGGGAAGAAAGGATGAGATGAGAAGCTGCTTCCTCCGGCCTTTCTCACAAGGAGGAAGGAATCCGGCAGCTTCCTGCTCGGGGCAGGATGCAGGTGGAAGAATAAAAATGGTCCGAACCCATTGTGCAAGCAGCTCACGTGCCGCTCCCCAGCACAAACACCCCGCAACTGCCCCCTTGCTTTTGTGAGGCGTTTTCTTCTCAAACCGCGCCTTTGGCACTTCAACCCCCCTCAAATCCGTCAGCGAAGCCGGCAGACTCCCAGCTCCACTCGCGCCCCGACGCAGGGCTCCCCAGCTCCTCCCCAGTCAGCACGAGAACCAGCACTTACTCCAGGATTTCATTGTACTCGATGGTCTCCTCCAGGTTCTGCAGGTTGGGGTTGACGCTGCGGATGGCGCGCATGTAGGCCTTCAGCAACTGAATGTCCCGTTTCTACGACAGGCAGGACACAGCGGCGTTTGCAAAAAGGAGTCAGCACCGCGGCTACACGTCACGAGACCAGACCCCACGTCTCGTAACGCGTCCCTCCCCGTCGGCTCAGCCACCATCCCTGCGGCAGAACAGCAGGGGAGCCCCGGCTGCGCTCAGCTGGGGCTGCTCTGCAGCCGCTTTCTTCGTCCACAAACCTTTGTTGGTGTTTGGTGTCCAAGCAGGTGAGACCGACCCTTCCCATGACAGACCCCGCTGCGAGACAGCCCCTCGCACACACGGACCTACCTGCTCGGCCAGCTGGTGCTTGTGCTCTGCTGAGGTCTTCTCCAGCTCAGCGATTCTCGTCTGCTGCTGTTGCACCACAGACCTCAAGTGCTTGATGCAGTTGTGGTTTGGCAGCTCATCTTTGGGCATTTCCAAGCTGCGGAGCATTACAAAAAAAGGTGGAGGCCCCACATTAGGGAAAGTTACACACCAGAGCACTTGGCATAAGCACATAAACAGTCTCCAGAACAAATCCAGACTTTGAGGACTCGCCAAGAGGCCCGGGAAGCCCAGCGCCATAACCTCCGATAGGTGTAGGAAGGCCTCTTCCCTGCCGAGTCTCAGGGCCAAGCCAAATGGTCTCGGGGAGAGCTATGGGAACAAAACACCACCAGGTCGGCAGGCGATGGGGATTTTCTTCCTCCAAAGTGATCAGGGCTCAGAACCAGGTCCCACACTAGGCAGCCCATGGGCCTGCTCCAGTCTCTGATAGTCTCCAAGCCAACAGTCAGTCACCATCTGGCTGGATGCTTACAACACGTGAGTGGGAAGGACATCGGCACCAAGAGCACAAGTGCCAAGGCCAGACCGGCCACCCACTGCTCCTGGCTCTCAGCAACACGTAGGAGGGAGCAGAGCTCCTGCTGGAACTTGTCCCAGGAAGCTGGAATGG